ATGTATGTGTTTGAAAGGAAAAAGATGGTGATCCGAATAGTATAATCGCGATCGGTGTATTTGCATGTTTGCTTTGTGTGATTTGTTCGTAGTTGTTAGGTACCAGTATATAAGAAAATAGATCTGTTTCGTAGTTTGTAAGGTAGACTGCAAATAATGTCTCTAGGTTAAGTTAGATGTAAGAAATTCAATTTACTTCTAGGAACAAATTTTACTTTTAAGCAATTAGATAAGTTTAGGTTTAGATCAGTACCTAACAAAACCAAACCTAAAAAACTTTATAAAAACTATCCATTCACAATTTATTATATAATTGTTAATTATTCTTAAAACTCCTTTATGGTAACATACGTATTTTACGGTTATATTTTTTTCTTTTATAAATTTATTTCACCCCGATTACAATACTTTTCAACTCAATAAGAAATCCTCTGAATATTTTCTAATCAGAATGCTCGTTTTGGCTCACATTTTGACAGTTCTCGATGCTCGATTGGCTCAAAATGGCCGCATCCGTGAATCTCTATACATAGGATTACTAGGGTAAACCACCCCGTAGGGTGTCCATTTTTCCCCGCTAGCTTTACGATGACAATGTAATGTAGCAAAGACATTACGAAAGTCGAGAAAATTTCCAACCCGAAAGATTCCCTCGACCAGACCGGCAATCGAACCCGCCGCCTCCAGCTTGGTAATACCGCGCCTTTACTGACTAGGCTATGAGGCCGTTCTTAGGGCATTCCTCCAATAGTTCACTTTAAAGCCTCATTAATCGTGTTGTGTTGCCGATCGATCCTGAGGTATCAGACTGTACGCAGTTTGACAATTTCAGGCGTCCACTACCTTACTCAAAACGTGATCACTAGCGCCATTTTGTTTTTTTTTTGCCTTGTATAAATTTTGAAATAAAGACGAAGTTCTAAGCTTTTTGAATTTCAAATCCACGTCCTTTTATGTTTTTTCATTAGCCCACAAAAAATGCCAAACTTTGCTTACTTTTTGGCCATTTGAATGAGAAGCTCCCCTTAAGATTGAATTGGTTAATAGCCACGTCGACACCAAGTCAACCCAACATTCGTTATCGGGATTTAAACCGAGGATAATATCAGTTGGTGCTTACCGCCAAAAGACCATTCAAGCACAGACAAACAGACATAACTCATTCAGTATTTCTCACTGTAAAACATAGTCGCTAGAACATTACCGCCATCTGTTGAGTACAGTGTGGTGTGTAGCACGCTAAACAGATGGCGGTAGTGTGTAAACGTCAAACGCAAGGGAATTGACTATGCGCGCCACAGTTGGTACTACCAACAACGATACTTTTAAATTTACCGTTAAATGCTTGTTCGATGAACAATTTGAAAGAGTTATGTCTGTTTGTCTGTGATTCAAGTATTAGCAATCGAAAAAACAATGATTTGCGATTTGTGACCTAGGTAATTAAATGTGCATACAGTGATGTCATGCAGTTGTGTGTGCCCGATTGCTTCACCCCGGTATTCCAGTTCATTGAGTTCTACGCTCTCGAGGCAAGGTTATAAATCATACGGTAACATGCAAGTAACACTGACGCAAAAATTTAGTTGAATTAAAGACAGACCTCAAAATATCTGTAAAGGGTTTTTGGTCTAATTTCCGTCCTACTAAGCGCAACCCGCGCTTTACCTCTCTTTTATGAACGAGTTTGAACGAAAAATGAAATATTTCTGTAAAAGATGATTTCTAAATTTATTCAGCTTTCCAAACGTACCGTTGGATTTGATAAAGAGTCACAAATTGATGAGATATTGTTTAAAATCTAATACTGCTTCTTGATTCTAAATTCGTTCTACGAGTTTCAATTCCGTCCTAACGCATTGAAATGCCATTAGATTTTCTTCGTCCAACGGATAAACGTAGAAAAAGGGGATGCGCTAGGAGTGCTTCTTTTGTTTTGAGAACAATGAGCGCAAATATTCATTCAAAGCGCTCTAACAGGATTTATGTTGTAGCTAATGAACTAACGCATCGGAACAAACCTATTATTGATTTGTGCATGGTGAAATCATTGATATTATTGATCTTTTCTGATAGATAGAAGCGATTACGACGAAGTAGTGCCAACAATCAATACGAAACTAACGATTTTAAATTGGCTCACCACTTTAGTAGCCTATTGGTCCCAAGCAAACGATTAACGTACCCTATTCTAGTTGAAATTCTATTACTACACTATGTTTGTTTTGATTCGCTATGAAAGTTTGACAGATAACATCAGGGGTGTGTGGATTCATGCAGAACATGCAGGGGTGAGTGAAATAGCTTGGGACTGCTTGGGACCGTTGTTCTGGTACTGAGTGAGCCAAAAATAATAATGATTTTCTTCGGGACCCAGTGGTCTTAGAGTTACCTCTATGGTAGTGCTATACCCTATACATTTACCCAATCAAAAAATCTGTATATCTGTATATACAGATTCTTGGTTTAAAAACTGCTAAAAAATCTGTATAAATACAGATTATTCTGTATTTTTGGCATCCCTGGTCCTGAGGCCAAGAACATTTTGGTATTACAGGTGTAGCTCAGATGATATATCGGCAACGTTGGGTGACCAGAAGATGCACCGTCCCGCTGCAACGGCAGGCAGAGAAACGTTTCGTTGTGAAAAATACTTGCCTGGCAACACAGGCTGGAAGACCCCTTCACCGATCTCAACCACAGGACCAGGACGGCTCCGATGGCTGGAAACAGCATCAAACACGACTGGGTCGAATGGTTCAGAGGCTTCCAAAGTGCTGTATACAGTGTATAAACAAGGTAATAAACTTTCGGATGTAAACAAACAAGTTCGAATGTCGACCAATGACGTCATTTCCATCTTGCAACTTGCCACAGTGTGAAGTAGAATAACGCGAATTGAACAGTGTAAATACGTTGCAGACCAATACAATCGTTTATTTGGCTCTCATTCTAAAAATAACGCATGGAACATTAAATTCAAAATATCGACTTCATTCATATCGGCACCAGCGGTATTACAGAAGTCGATGTCCACGGTGTACTCTATAGGAGATATTCCGGTAAATGACATTTGAATGGTTACGTATTACCTAGAAATACTCAGAGGGAGATATGGGCAGAGAGAATGTTTTGAGCCAAATGAACTGTCAAAATCTGAGCCAATCGAACATTACAATTAGAATTTTTCCGAGGATTTCTTATTCTAACTAGAATAAATTTGAGAGTATTGCAATCGAACAGAAATTCAATCACTTTTATCACAGAGAACAGACATTGAGGCTCGAACAAAATTTCTCTAAAAACTTGTGTGAAGATTCCTATTTGACTTAAGCGCCACTAACAGCGACTTCCCCACTTAAAAACCTTCTTTGACAACATGATGGCGCTGGCGTTGCAAAACTTACACTAGACACTAAGTGCTTGTAGCGCCAAGTGGCATTTTTCAACAGATAATGTATCGATACTAGCGCCCAATTGGTCGAAAGTAATAAATTTATAGAGGAAATCAGTAGATGCTAGCGCTACGTAACGGCGACGTTTCCACTTAACTTTACACAAGTTTCTGATCGAACTTCGACGTCTGTTCTCTGTGGTAATATTGATGAATTTAATACCCCGTTCACATTATAGCCTATATCACGTAATATAGGCTGTCTTGCAATGAACACTCAATACAAAGGATTTCCAGTGAAAACTAGATGTATGAGTGCTCATTGCAAGCACAGAGAACAGACGTTGAAGTTCGGTCAGAAACTTGTGTAAAATAAGTGGGAACGTCGCCGTTACGTGATGTTAGCATCTCCTGATTTTCTCTATAAATGTTCCACTTTCGACCAATTTGGCGCTAGTATCGATAAATTTTCTGTTGAAAATTACCACTTGGCGCTACTAGCACTTAGTGTCTAGTGTAATTTGTGCAACGCCAGCGCCATCATGTTGTCAAAGAGGGTTTTTAAGTGGGGAAGTCGCCGTTAGTGGCGCTGAAGTCGAATACACAAGTTTGTAGAGAAATTTTGTTCGAGCCTCCATGTCTGTTCTCTGTGGAGAAACTGCACCAGTGCATGCGACACCTAGGTTTGAAATCCAAAACCACAAAAGTAATGATGTACTAAAAAAAATCCATACGATTTGACAGGTAGCAAAACGTCATTATCATTTTCTCATCATTTCCATATGCTGGTCGACCGTAACGTAAATTCATCAATAGGCTCTTTTGATCAATGTAGCGTGCGCTAGATGATTTCGAGAGGACATGTCATCCCATCCGTTTGTTTACATCATAATGACAATTTTCAAAACTCTAAATAATGTATATTTTATTGCACATCCAAAGGAGAATATATTTTCCGCTTCCTATGCATCACAATGCATATATCCGGATAGAACCCAGATAGAAGAAAATGTGGACGGAACTGCCGTCACGGAAGTCAGTGTAACGGTTTTGATAACAGAGCTGAAGGATATCATGAACCCGGGAAGGATGAGAACTTTGTCGGTGGTTTGGCTGATAAACTATCATGGATGAGCATTTTTTATTTTTCCGGTAATGTTGGTATTGATTGCTGAGTGTTGCTATGCAAGTGATAGGCCTGTTTTTTTTTTGGGGGTCGGAATTATTGTACGCAGTCCAGCGCGAAATGATGTAGGTACCTACTTCTTCGAACAGGTATTAGAATGTGCGCTGACAATTCGATTCAGAAGAATCCATGGCGAAACTTGGTGTAGAGTCATGGTTGTGGTTTGAAAAAAATGAATTGTATTGTGACAACATCAATAACAAATTTTTACACAAATTTTAAGTGTTGCCAGTAACTTAAAGATTATAAAAATAGTAACAATGGGTGTCAACAATGACTGCGTCCAGGAGTGCCCAAGCTTGTTTTTGGCACACTGTGTGCAGTGACCAGCCCCTTGGGTAAATAATAAAAACAGACACTGCCTTGATACCTTGATAAGTAACTTTCATTTATTTCTCTATCTCCCCCTTCCACTAACAGGAACCAGGCCGATCGTCACCGGCGGGCAAGATCCTCGTCAAGGAAGCACCGGAAATGCTCGCGATAGCACACTGGACCGGGCAGATTCCACGGCGGCCACCACTGCCCGAGGGAGTTAGCCTGTCGCAGCTCATCGCCCTCGGATCGCGGCGGAAACGGTCCAAGGTGTACTGGATGATTGCCAAGAGCGAGGAGGAAGTCAGGTGAGTCCAGGTGGAAAATTCGAACTTTTAGTTTGTCCGATTGTCCGATCAAGCCAGGACCACTAGGTGACTGGCATGAAGGTCTTCCTCAATTGATAACTTTGCTGAAGCGCTGAAGTTAGACAAATGTCATACGTCCAGTTGTGAACAAGAATGAACACACACTCTAATTTTGAAAAATAGTGGCTTTACTCATAAATGGCTAAATTAATCTACGGGGAGACGTGCTGTCAAATCACCCTACTGATAATTTTTGTATGAAATTGGTTCCAAACTTAATCAAATCATGTAGGTTTCTTATGGCTTGTTTACGTTTGGAACCAGTTATTGACCAATGCACGGAATGAACTCACAAAAAATTATGACGCTTCAGCGTGTTTACTAACAGTGAATGCATGATGAGATGCTCGCGTAACTTTAGAAAAGGGCCTATCAACTTTTATAAACAACTTGTCTAGCCCTTTTCGCGCGAACCGAAGTACGCTCACGCAAACCAAGAGCACTATCGGGAAGGGGAGAATTTACCCTACCAGATGGTGTTGTTGGTTTGTGTGGGCGTACTTCGACTTGAGTTCAATACTTGCTACAAGTTCCGATACAATTTCTAAAAGTTCCGAGACGCTTCCTAGAAGTTCTGAGACTCTTCCTAGAAGTTCCGAGACACTTCTTAGAAGTTCCGATGATCTTCCCAGAAGTTCCAATGAACTTCTCAGAAGTTCCGATGAACTTCCCAGAAGTTCCGATGAACTTCCCAGAAGTTCCGATGAACTTCCCAGAAGTTCCGATGAACTTCCCAGAAGTTCCGATGAACTTCCCAGAAGTTCCGATGAACTTCCCAGAAGTTCCAATATACTTCCCAGAAGTTCCAATGAACTTCCTAGCAGTTCCGATGAACTTCCCAGAAGTTCCAATGAACTTCCCTGAAGTTCCAATGAACTAAATGTCTAAATGCCCCTCAAATTATGGCCATTTTTTGGAGATAAACGCGTTTAAAGAATCCGAAATCAAGACTTAGGCCATATTCTGGGTATGAAAATTTCGAACACCTAAACACCCCTCAATTCGCGATTTAGGTCATATTTCTGGAGATAAACGGGTTTGAAGGTTTAGCAAACTTAATTTATAATTTAGGCCAATTGTGGTTATTACAATTTCGAACACCTATATACCCCTAAAAACGCGATTTAGGCCATATTTCCGGAGAAAATCGTGTTCAAATATTTCATTATTGATTTTCAATTGAATTTTGTTTCACTAACACAGTTGAATCCATTCAAAGTACATCCAATTGTCACACATGCCCCATCTGCTTTCAACCGCTCTGCACAAGGTCTTGAAATATTGATTACCGGAGAAAGAAATCAAATCAGCCGACACCTTCTCTCCATTAGCGGCAAAACAGCGATTCATCCTCCCACTTGTACGTACAACGTCTGCGATCCTTGCAAACGACGATGATGATGGGGACAACGACAAGAACGCGATCCTGCATCGTCAGCAAATTTGCATCCATTGCACTTTGGTCGTCCTTCTTTGCTGCACTCTGTGACTGAATTTTCGCTCAAACGAACAGAAGTAACGAGCTAAGTGCACCCACCCCACCCCGACATTCGAACGCGGGGTGGGCGGTACAAAAAGGAACCGGAAAGTGCACCCCGAAAGTCATGTGTTTGCATAAAGTGAAAATTTAATTTGATAGCACCTCCTTTGGGGCTCCGGCGGGTGGCTGTGTTTGGCGTCTGGTTCTGCCGAAACCTGCTTCCCAGAAGTGGATGGAAACTTACCCTTTCCGAGGCTGGCATGCGACATGATATGGAATGGAAACGAATTTAACTTCCATGAAGGACCGCTTTTTTTACGATGGGGTTGAAAAACTGAAATTCAATTTCGAAAACATCTACGGGAAGCGAAACACACGTCTTTGGAACTGGGAACGAGGTCAGCTGAACTTGGTTAATTTTCAACCGGGAAACTGCAAATTCCAAATAGAAATTTAAAACTAAAACTATGGCGTGGAATTTAATTCTCGGAAAACACCGAGTGTACAACTGCGCGACATTCTGACCGTGTCACATCATAGATTAAAATTTCATTCCACTGCGTCCTATCTTTGGCTCCGATCAATTAAAACTTACTCAAAAGTTCCTAGTTCCTTTCCCATTCTCAAGCTGAATCAATCAAATCCAAACCGGTCCACTTTGTCTATCAGTCTAAATCAATCCGCCAAAGCATGCTCCACGCATTCAACAGCTGTCGATCATTCCTCTGCTCCCGAATCCGGGATCCCTTGGTATTCCACCGAACCCTGGATCGCTACGTCGGCTTCGTGCACTGGGACCTCCGGACAGTGTCATCGCGCATCAAGCTCGGTGCCATCGTGTTCACCTTGCTGTACTACACGATCGCCGTCCTATCCATTCCCGGCATCGACCCCGGGGAAATTCCAATCGATTTCTACTTCGGAATGTGGTTCCTATTCGGCGCCGGAGGTTCCTGTTTCACTACCTGGTTGGTGCTAGCCATGGAACGCCGTGGTTTGCGGATGGTGATTCGGTTCCTAACGGAGTTGCAGAACCACGGTGGTGATCATCCCATTCGGGTACGATCTAGGCCAGCGATCGTAGTCTTTGTGATCTTCTACTGGATGCAGAATGTTTTACAGTCCTTGTACTGGGCGTTTACCCTGAGACATACCAGTCCGATTGAGCATGCGGTGCAGTCAGAGTTGGTGAAACTGTTGTCCTCGTCACTGTATCCATTGGTGGTGGTCATGCTTGGGCAGATGACGAACATCACCCAGGTCATGACGTTCAACACGCTGCTGGTGTTCACGGTGGAGTTTGAGATACTTGGCGAAGATTTCCGGAAGGCGTTGAATCGCTGGGATTTGGACAGGATTCGGGAGTGTGTCGACCGTCATCAGAGGCTGCTGGAGATGGTGATGTTGCTGCGAGACAAGCTTAAGGTGTACCTCCTATTGAATTTGGTGACGTACTTCTTCCTGATTACGTACGCTTGCTTCATAATGGTGATTCAGGTAAACGGATCTGGAAACAGCCAGAGTATGGTTTCGAGTTTGATCGGATTAGTGTCGGCGATTTGTTTGATTCTGTTCGGGTGGGTTTGCGATCGACTGGAAGTGAAGGTGAGATCATGCGATGCGTTGACTGGCGAAACATAAATGAGTTCGTATTTTCAGGCCATCGAGTTCGGTCATGGGTTGTACAATTCTCCCTGGTCGAGCAATTTCAACTACCGACGGGAAAGGGCGCACAGCTATCGGCAGATGAGGAAGAATCTGCTGATCATTTTGTTGAGATCGCATAACGGGATTGGATTTACGTGCGGAAGCATTTTGGATATGTCCTTGGAGACCAGCTACGTCATGTTGAAGATATGCTACTCGGCGTTCACCTTGCTGTTGCGCTTGGTTTGAAAGTGGTTAGTCGAGGTCGAATGTTGGTGGACTGTAGAATTTGTAGAATATAAAGCAGAAGCCTTGCAATAAATGAATGGTGAAGTTTTGCTAGTTTATGGATAAGATATTGGGAAGTCTCTTAGCTATTCATGACTGCAGTTTTGTGATTGGAGGATGTTGGAAGCATTCTGTTTTCAATGTAGTTTTAGTACTATATATGCTAAGGTGAACAACTCCAAGCACTTCAACAAGTCCTTTTGAAAAAACCGCTCAGCTCTAGGCCCAGTTTAAGGAATTTTCCACTTTTACTTGCTGAAGATCTTGGAAGATAACTTATGGGAAGGGTCTCGCAACTTCTGAGAAGTGTCTCGGAACTTCTGGAAAGTGTCTCAGGACTTCTGAGAAGTGTCTCGGAACTTCTGAGAATTGTCTCGGAGTTTCTAGTAAGTGTCTTGCAACTTCTGGGAAGCGTCTCGGAACTTCTAGGAAGCATCTCAGAACTTCTAAGAAGCTACTTGGAACTACTAGGAAGTGTCTCGGAACTTCTGGGAAGTGTCTTGGAACTTCTGGGAAGTGTTTCAGAACTTGTGGGAGCTGTCTCAAAACTTCTACTACGCGTCTCAGAACTTGTAGGAAGCGTCTCGGAACTTCTACGAAGCGTCTCGGAACTTGTAGGAAGCGTCTCGGAACTTCTAGGAAGCGTCTCGGAGCTTGTAGGAAGCGTACCAGAACTTCTAGGAAGCGTTTCGGAACTTCTAGGAAGCGTCTCGGAAATTCTAGGAAGCGTTTTGGAACTTCTAGGAAGCGTCACGGAACATTTAGAATGCGTCTCGGAGCTTGTAGGAAGCGTACCAGAACTTCTAGGAAGCGTCTCGAAACTTCTAGGAAGCTACTCGGAACTTCTGGGAAGTGTCTCGGAACTTCTGGGAAGTGTCTCAGAACATCTGGGAAGTGTTTTGGAACTTCTTGGAAGCATCTCAGAACTTCTAGTAAGCACCTCGGAACTTCTAGAAAGCGTCTAGGAACATTTAGAATGCGTCTCGAAACTTCTAGGAAGCTACTCAGAACTTCTAGGAAGTGTCTCGGAACTTCTGGGTAGTGTCTCGGAACTTCTGGAAGTGTCTCGGAACATCTTAGAAGTGTCACGTAACTTCTGGAAAGTGTCTTGGAACTTCTGAGAAGTGATTTGGAACTTCTAGAAAGCGTCTCGGAACTTCTAGGAAGCATCTTGGAATTTCTGGGATGCGTTTCGGAACTTCTTAGAAGCGTATCGGAACTTCTAGGAACCGTCTCGGAATTTCTAAATAGAAAGTGTCTCGGAACTTTTAAGAAGCGTCTCGGAATTTCTAGGAAGCGTTTTGGAATTTCTAGGAAGCGTATCGGAGCTTACCTAGGAACATTTAGAATGCACCTCGAAACTTCTAGGAAGCTAGTTGGAACTTCTGGGAAGCTAGTCGGAACTTCTAGGAAGCGTCTCGGAACTTCTGGGAAGTGTCTTGGAACTGCTGAGAAGTGTCTCAGAACATCTGAGAAGTGTCTCAGAACTTCTGAGAAGTGTCTCAGAACTTCTGGGAAATGTCTT